ATCCTGTGAAGTCATCATTGTCACATGATCCTTTAGAAATCATTCTAATATGCTTATTTGCAGCTCTAGAAATATTTCTTATTATCTTTAAAACAATTGATCTGCTTAATATTTCAGTGGAAACTGCTTAAAACCTGACCATTCTCAGTTGTAACTGAGTTATGGTCTGTCAAAGCATTATAGACAAATAATTTCCAAAGGGATGTCACCAACGGATGTCGCGGGTAGACCTAAAACCAATCAGAGCGATGAAGGAGATGACATAATCAGAGCGGCGGAGAAACATCTCCGAGTGTTGTTCTTTGATTGGTTTTTAACAAAAAGGAAACGTTCAAATCGCTTAAAACAGATGCGATAGCTGATTCAAACAAGTGATGTTCGACAACGGCATTCCATCTTCGTAATGTATGTAGGCTACAAAATCTGCTTCAAAATCCCGGCCCAACGTTTCTGATTGGTGCCTCGATTTCGACGGATTGGGGCTTGAATGAGCTCTTTGCCAGACCAACTTTCAGAGAAAATTTACATTTGCTGGAAGTTGTCCGGGTTTTCCCAGGCTAGCTTTCTTCAAGATTCTCAGATGAATAGACTGTTGACCTTGAATGGAGCTGTCAGAGTTGCTACTCCCTGTCATCTGAGTACAATGATCGATTTAATATTTTATAAGTTTAGGGCTCAACTGGGCAAGCCAGTTATATGCAAGACATTTTTCACTTTTGCCAGCAACATGCATCCACCTTGCCTCAGACCCTTTGTCACTTTGGTATTAGGTCATTACAGCTCTTTAGGAAAGAGGCTCCAGGCGCTTTAAACAAACTTTCACAATATCGCCCCCCCCGTGTCCAGGAGCGCTATCTCTCACCGCCAAATGCAGTGACAAGAGACCCCCCCGGGGCAGCATTCGTCAATCTGTTAGTTTAGCCAAGTGATGGCCTGCCTTCTGCCTTGCCTGGCCTTGCTCTGTCTTTGGGATTCCCCTATAGGAGGCTAATGGCCCATAGTGACAGGCTGAAATTCTTGAGAGTGTTAGAGCATGTTAATGTCAGTGCCAGACGTGCAGCCAGGGCTGTTGGCATAGATAGCACGGCACTCAGAATCCATGCATGAGAGCACATCCGTAAACAGAGCTGGGATGGTCTCCCGCTGGGCTCTGAACTTTTGGTTCCTTGGCTCACTTGCAGCAGTGATAGTGTGTCGCTCAGGGCTCGGATGTAGGGCTTTTAGGTGGTGTGCTTTCATAGCGTGGGCCTGTCACTCACATGGTTCGATGCCGTTAGCTGCGTCACCCGCCCTTGTGTCCTTGGGGTCTTCAGTTTCACTTCACTGATATCTGCCATGTCGGTGGTGTTATGAAGACAGCAAGAGACAGCTCTGATTGTCAGCGTGCAAGGATGTTTACTCTGTCTTTACCTCTCTCTTTAACACACACACACACACCCTTGTCGCCCTTTGTGTGCTGTTAGTTTACTTGTCAAAGAATTCAGCACAATGGACAGCTCCAGTGATCCTACACCCATAAAAAGAGATTTAGGATTAAATGCCCCATTTATAAATGTTTTTTTCTAATGTATTAATTAATATTACTATATGTTAATTAATGTATAGATGACATATCAGTTTAATCGACTTAAAATTATATTTAGGGCCCAAGCCCTGAAAGGGCGAAGGCCCTATTGTTTTCCTAAGGATTATTTATTATTAGGGCCCAAGCCCTGAAAGGGCGAAGGCCCTATTGTTTTCCTTAGGATTATTATTATTATTATTATTATTATTATTATTATTATTATTTATACGACTATTCGGGCACTTTTGGGGCCCTTAACATGCTCAAAAACTCTTGAAACTTAGCACACGGGTCAGAACCCGCGGCCATCAGGGCCGGGCTGAAGATGGTACCCGGGCGTGGCAGGGGGGCTAGACAGCGCCCCCTGGAACGGGGTCCGAAAACTTGGTCCATAAATCAAACACGCTTGCATGTAATAATATGAAACTCGGTGCACATATAGATCTCATCGTTCATATATACCTCATACTATTACTTTTTACCCCAGCCCAACAGGAAGTCGGTTATTTAGGGTTGTTCATAAAACACTCGCAATGGAATTTGAAGTACTACTCCTAGAGAATTCAAACACACGGCACGAAACTCGGTCAGCATGAAGTCAAGGCATTGACGATGAAAGTTTGCGAGGGGATTTTTGATATCTCGAACGGTTTGGCCATGGCGAGGAAACGAAATTATGGCGAGAAACGTGAAACAGGAAGTGTGTTATAACTTCAGCATACATTAACTGATCTTGATGAAACTTCAGCAGTGTGTTTGCTGTAAGAGGACGATCACATGGATGTGACTATTGTGAGTCAGAGTTATAGCGCCACCAACTGGCAGCAGGAAGTGTGTCACTTTCAAAATGCTTTGAACTCACCCTTTTATTTTTACCCGATGTGCTTCAAACTTAATCTGTATAATGTAAATACATAGCAGATGAAGACCTGTGAATGGATTCTTGATATCTTTGATACTGTTGCCGTGGCAACGCATCAAACTTTAAAATTCTTTTTTTTTATGATTTTGAGACTCTTAGCGGCTTTTGGGGCCCTTAACGGGTTTGAAAACTCTTGAAACTTTGCACACAGGTCAGATCCCACAGCCATCAGAGCCGGGCTGAAGATGGTACCTGGGTGTGGCAGGGGGGCTAGACAGCGCCCCCTGGAACGGGGTCCGAACACTTGGTCCATAAATCAAACACGCTTGCATGTAATAATAAGAAACTCGGTACACATGTTGATCTCATCGTTTCATCTATACCTCACGCTCTTACTTTTTACCCCAGCCAAACAGGAAGTCGGCTATTGAGGTTTGTTTGTAAAACGCTCGCAATGGAATGTGCAATACTCCTCCTAGAGAATTCAAACACACGGCACGAAACTCGGTCAGCATGAAGTCAAGGCATTGAGGATGAAAGTTTGCGAGGGGATTTTTGATATCTCGAACGGTTTGGCCGTGGCGAGGAAACAAAATTATGGCGAGAAACGTGAAACAGGAAGTGTGTTATAACTTCAGCATACATTAACTGATCTTGATGAAACTTCAGCAGTGTGTTCACTGTAAGAGGCTAATTACATGGATGTGACTATTGTGAGTCAGAGTTATAGCGCCACCAACTGGCAGCAGGAAGTGTGTCACTTTCAAAATGCTTTGATATCACCCTCTTATTTTTAACCGATTTGCTTCAAACTTCATCTGTATAATGTAAAAATACAGCAGATGTAGACCTGTGAATGGATTTTTGATATCTTTGATACTGTTGCTGTGGCAACAAATCAAACTTTAACATTCTTTTTTGATACTTTTGGGACTCTTAGCATGCTTGAAATTGCTTGAAACAGATAGATACAGATAGCTCGACAGATACATCACATTTATTAGCCAGTAGGCATGTGCAACTTTGGCAAAAGATTAAAGTAATGTCAAAAAAGTAAACAGTAAACACTAAAAGCCTCATATCTTCTAAAAATGTAATTATACATCATTTGTTTCTAAATTAAATTATACAAATATTATAATTAAACCAGTTTTTCCCTTTTTTCATTTAAGAATTATGTTTACGTTCAAAAACAGCCAGAATGGTTTTAAAATTCAGAAGAAGAAAAAATAATCTGAGTCATACGTAGTGCTATACTGCCCTCTTGTGTTCAATATCAGGTAGGCCTATTGTGTATATTCCCACCGGTTAATCAACGTGTGACTCCGCTGGGACTCGGGAACTTTTAAATCGCTTACTTAAAACCGAAAGTCAAAATACAGATATCCGCACAAGACATTAATGTTGTGGAGTAGAGCAAGCATTTTAAATAAATTCCTATTAAGTAGGATTGAACTAAACAGAATGAACGTTCACTCTGTTCTGCTGGTTCCTCGCTGTTGGCGCGCACAGTTATGAATGCTTGTGCAGCCATGAGTTTTAGTTTAATTTTAAAATTAGCGCAATTTCGGGATTTGTATTATTTGAATTTATTTTTAAAAAACACAATGTTGAGTTTTATTGTAACACTGTTTAATCGCGCCCACGGTTATATTTTGTATATTATATATAATTATAATGTATTTCTGTATAAAATAATACTACAATAAAAAACACATTTGTGACCGACCTGATCCAGCAAAATTAGTCACAGTGACCCAAATTTAAAAATTGAGATTTTGATATTAATGGAAAGAGGACACTGTAAGCTTTCAAATGATACCTTGGTCATACCTTGAATGGTTGTAACGATATACAGATTTGAATTCTGGTCGTCTGCCCTTTTTTTTCCAATTGAAAACCTAAGAAAATCGCTTTTAAAGTTTTTTTGCCCGTTTTTTTTTTTTTTTTTTTTTTTTGATATCTTTCAAAATCCATAGCATTTTAAGGGATAAACTATTTATTTTATATAGCTTAATTTGACCAAATAGATTAACATATATAAATGCAATTTAACGAGGCTGAAACTCAACTTATTTTTTAATTTTTTTGAAATAAATAATTAAAAAGTCACTTTTACAAAAATGTTCTAAAATCAGAAAGATTAAAGAGGAGTCAGAGAGAAATTCAGTTTTCATACGGATTAGCCCACATAAGCAGAGAGCAGTCTGTTTTCTTTCATTTTGAATGGTTGTGTTTAAAAGTAGACATTTCAATATATATGTCTGTGAGGATACCTTATACGCTGACTTTCGGTTCATGAGACAAGCTTCAGTTCACGTGCCGCGCGTCTCCGCGTTGTGATTAGGCCTAGCCTATTGTCTGCAATTTATTTCTTATTATTTAATCCTAGTAATTGGTTGATGAAACATTGATTTAAATTTAGATAATTATTTTAAAACGAAATTTACTTTAAATAAAGGCTTTGTGCTTGCATGTTTAAGCTATGTGAAAGTTTTAGTGCTGCTTCCAGAGAACGGTCACGTTCGGATTGTTTTTCCTCACACTGTAAAAACGAACTTTTTGGTGTAGTAATATATATTAAATGAATCATCATAATTTTTACTTAATAAAATTAAAATTCAATGTGAACTAGAATTTTCTAAGTAAAATTTTAAATATCTACGCGTTTAATTCATGTAATAAATTAACTGGTTGGAAAGAGTAAATCTTATTATATATTTTCTTGTAATATTTAAACGTTTTATAGTCCCTTCACATAAACATAGTAATTTTAAGTAAATTTTAATAGAAAAGCATAGCGCGTTTGAATCCGCACATGCGCGTTTGGACAAGTCTAACTGCGCACTTTGGATCTGAGACGAGACGAATTGGCGGGCTGCTGCGTGGCTGCTTTCTGTCGTGTTTGAGGTAAGTTTGTCTTTCTGTTTTACATTTAATAAAACATGAGTCTGTGTGGGTTTTGATTGATGATTCTTGTTTATTTGACTCAATAAACATTAATGCTCACCTTACAACATGGCCTCATATTAGTGCAACGCGTGTGGGTTATCCATAACAGTATACTGTATCGTTAACCCCTTTTCACTTCCTAACGTTAACGTACATTATTTATATTGAATCGGAAGTTTTCAATAGTTTTATAGATTCACAAAGAACTGTTTTTCGTGTAAAAATGTCAAACTAAGTAGAAATTAGTAGACAATCTTTACCGTTTTAACTGCTAGCTAGCTAAAATTGGGCCTTAAAATTAACAATTTAATGTCAACCGCTCTTAACGTTATACTGTTGACTATGGAAAAGTTTGAATGCTCTTGCTGAATATTGCTCAGGATGGAACGTTTACACATAAAGCTTTTTTTTTTTTCAATCGCACTAAATCGTGCATAAATGAGGTCTTAAAGTAAGCAGGGCTGCGTTTCTAAAATCATCCTGTTTCTAAAAGTTGATTGTAGAAAATAGAGATCGTGAGTGGCAATCATGGGCAATATTAATATTGACAACAGTAACTGATTTAGCACATGAAAAAATAAATAAACTTGAAATGTACTAAACTCAAAGTTAAAATTGAAATGCCAAATTAGTGTTTCTCTTTTGGATTTGCACATTACAAAAGAAAGTGCTGGATTGTTCACTCCACTGTTGATATCTACAGTCCTTGTATAATTAACCCTTGCTCCCTGCATCAGTCTATTTAACCAAATTTCTGCTGTTGTACTCTTGAATCATTTTGTCACATTAGATCAAGGAGGAATTCAGGAGAATCGATCATGGGGCAGAGATTCATGTTCAGACTTGACCAATGCACATCAAGACTTATTGCCCTGATGAAGGCCATGGGAGGTGTTGTGGGGACCAACTGAGGCCATTTCTGGACAAACTGAGTCAGGTGTGTTTGATCAAAAGTGTGCTTGTTCACATTTTTTTAAATAAGATATACTGCATGTATTTCTCATACATGCATGTACATTTATTGTATAGCTTTTAATACAATATAGATTGCATTAAAGTAGCTTTACTGTATTAAACAGACAAAAGTCAAAAGTTCAGAAATTTCAGTAATTAGAATTTTAGTCATAAATTACAACTTAAATTTCAAATATTAAGAATCTGTACTTAAGATGATAGAGTTTCAGCGACAGTTCTGCTTTGGCCAAAATGCAAGGCAGACAGGAACAGGAAGTAGAGTCACTTTGCTCTAAGTACTCAAATCAGTGTTCCTTGCGCATGAATGCTTTTGTGTTCTCACTTGATTTCATTGAGTTCATTGTGTATGAATAAAAGGTTGTGTAATGGTACAATATAAATCTGTTCACAGACACAAAGCCTTAAGATGGGAATCAGTTATCCGCAGCCTCATTCTCTACTTTGACGATAAAGAAGATGATAAACTGTGTTTTGAAGATGAACAGAGTTCTGACGGGCTCGGGACGACATGAGGGTGAGTCATTAATGACATCATTTTCATTTTCACAATCACGAAACGTCGCCATGGAAATAATAAGGAGATATATTTTAAAATGAAAGTCGCTCACTGGGTGGTCAGCTAGAATATTTTAAAGTTGCGTGTGAAAGGTTAAACAGAGTCAAATTTATTTCACAGAAAACTGCACTCCAGTTTATAGCACCCTAAAAAGGATAGTTCACCCAAAAATAAAAATTGTCATTGTTTACATTGTGTAAACATTGTTTACACTCAAGTTGTTCCAAACCGTTGTGAGTTTATTTCTTCTGATGAACACAAACAAAGATATTTTAAAAGAATGTTGGTAATCAAATGACGGTAGCCATTGACTTCCATAGTAGATTTCTAATGGCTACAGTCAACTGTTTGATATCCCATTTTCTTCAAAATACAATGTATGTATGATATACCGTCCTTGTCCAGAAAAGGTAATACAGACATCATCAAAGTAGTCATGCAGTGACTGCAGTGGCTCAATTTTAAGTTTATAAAGCGGCAAGAATACTTTTTGTGCGCAAACATAATGACTTTATTCCACTATTCATTTCATGAATTCATATGCATAATGAAAGCATAGGTGCACTCGAACAATCATTCATTAAAACGCATAAAACTTTAGTTTACAAAGACGTGAAACTCACCGAGTGGTCTGGGGTGTTCACTGATATGCTCACACAAAAATCGCTGTAAAAGATGCTTTCCAACAGGTTCTATCGTAGTTTTTGTCCAAGTCCATTTTCTTCTTGTTTTCGGTCGAACTAGATAACTAAGGATCGCGCACGGAAACTCGAACTAGATAACTAAGGATCGCGCACGCAAACTCGAACTAGATAACTAAGGATCGCGCACGCAAACTCGACAATTGACTACTGTGGATTTCGACCAAAAACAGGAAGAAAATGGACTTGGACAAAAACTACGATAGAACCTGTTGGAAAGCATCTTTTACAGCGATTTTTGTGTGAGCATATCAGTGAACACCCCAGACCACTCGGTGAGTTTCACGTCTTTGTAAACTAAAGTTTTATGCGTTTTAATGAATGATTGTTCGAGTGCACCTATGCTTTCATTAAAAAGGTGGGGGGGTGCTAACACAGAATCCAAAAATTCTCGTGACCGGAGCATCTGTCTAAAAAACAATCTATTTCTATTTCATCAGGGACGATCTTAAAACAGGGCTTTAATTGTAAAATACCGAACTTGTCCTTTAATGCAAGTCAAATAAAATAATTTAAGCCATTATATTTTTGTTTCTTAAAAGAATTATATTTTTTCTTCTAAATTGTATGCAGGAGGACAGCGGCAGTGACATCACTCAGCACAGCATTAAAATACTGGTCGTTCGTGGTGCTGATGGAGAAGATCCAATCGATGTATCCATCCTTTTTGAAGGGAAGGAAATGCTGGAAGCAGCAATACCGTAAAGACAGTTTTACTGAATGCACCTGTGTCAAGAGATGACTGAATGTCCATTCTTGTATGAACATTTTTGATGACTGAAAAATAAACTGTTTAATTGAATTTTAGTTGTGTGATTTGTGAAAAATATTGAGAAAATGATTATTTATTTATGTTCATGATTATTTATAAAAAAGAAATTATCAATGTTTAAATGTTTAAATATGTAGTAAATGAAAATCTCAACAAAAAAACTTAAATAATATCTACTTATTTTACTTAATTAAATGGTAAGATTTACTTAAAAATGTCATAAAAGCAAGCTTCCTAATTTAAAAACAATAAATAAACTTTACTTAATTACTTTAAATAGATATAGCTTCTAAATGAAATGTAAATGGGTATTTTTTACTTAATTTCTTCATGAGAGTTTTGTTCAATACTAAGTAGATTTTACTTGATAATGGCACGCGAGTTGTACTTAATATTATAGCAGTAAAATTTACTTAAAATTTACTTGTGCAAATTGTTACGAGGATTTTATTAAGTAAATCTTACAAGTAGTTTTTTTCAGTGCATAAATGCGAACACGGAAAATAAAATAAAGATTTTATGTTCTGGAGAGAGTCAACCCTTCTTCATCGGGTGAGTATTACTTTTGGTTTGTGCAGTGTGGTTCACATAGGCCAATTTATTAAAATATTTAATTATCTGGGAATTGGATCTCCTCCATAATGCTGAAATTGCCCAATTTTTTAAAAAAAAATAGTAATAATTTAAGTTTTGTGGTGTAAGTCTACGTATTTTATAATGTTAACTTCAAATAATACTAATAGTAATTTAAAGATGTTGTATCTAGCATTGGGTCTGGACGTGAAGGATAACTTCGGGAGTTGAAGGGACGTGTCGGTGTCGTGATTCTGTCTTCTCACACCGCGACACAGGTTCGTGGATCTGAGTGTCGCGATCGTTACAGCCTTACATAGGCTATATTCTTCTTGCAGATAAATATACTCACGCAGTTTAGGTTAGAAGCCTCCAGTGAGTTCAACGTTTCAGGGGATACCCGGGAAATGCTCAGAGGTGACGAGGGGAGTTGAGAAGAGCAATGTTTATTTCAGCGAATTTAAAGCTTTGACAACTTTAATCGTTATTTAAATACCTTTACTCAATTATCTCGACTACGAAACCCTGTGAGATTATTTTTGAATGTCTGTTCTTTGAAATTAGCAAAAAAAAACCTTTTTTTTTTTTTTTTTTTTGTTATTTCATGGTTTTTCCAACATAATCGGCCCATATCTTAAAATGGAAGGTTGCAACTTCGACTCATTTCGCCAGAGCGGGTCACATTTGATTTTTATTTTTTAAACAAATGTAATGTGTAACCTAAAAATAAACAGATTATTTGATAAATGGTATATTAAATCTGCATATTGTAGCCTAATATCTGCAGGGCAGCCTAGTCTTAATAAATGTATGCTTCATTTTTCATTAGTAAATTTGATCAATAAATTCAATAATTTAGAATAATAAAGACACTATAGGGCTGTTACCCTAGTAAGGCTGATCAAATTAAATCGGTTACAACAATAACAATAATGTTACGAGATTGGTTTAACAGGAGTCAATTAAAAAAGCTTGTAAAGAACGATACTTTTAAACATAACCCTAAATCACCATAAGGTGTCGCCAGATGACCGTCTTAATGAACGAGTCATGGATTCAAAATGCTGAATCATTCAGTAATGAGAAAACACATTGCTTTGAGATGCGCGATGGGTCGCTGTGATCTTTGTTTAACTATTTTCTCTGCTGAAACAGAAAAAAGTCAATATTGCATCTAAAAAGTCAATATTGCATATTAAAATGTAAGTGACTTGACTTGTGTGTGTGACTATGTTTGTTGTAGTGATAAGAGTTGCCACCCTTGTTAAAGTTTAAGGCCTTGTGTTTTTGGATTATATCTTTCTTTCTTCTCTTTTTTCTTTTTAACAAAATATGCATATAACCCATATATTTTAGATTTATTATTTGCTTTTAAATTAAATTAAGATTGTATTTTGGTAATTGAACCTGAATGAATTTAAAAATGAATGTGCTATATTTCAGAATCATATATTTGTTTTCTTAAAATTTTGAACTAACTTTATTCTCAGCTGAATTATAAATATTTTATTTCTGTATGAATTAAAAACCATTTGATTTTTCTTTTTTAATCAATGTAGAATGTGTAACTGAAATATAAACAGATTAGGGCTCTGTTCGAGGACAAGTAACTAAAACCAATGCGACATGATGAATGTTTGTTTCCCAAACCATCTCAGAGTAACAGCTTACTTTTCTTTCTTACTATATTCTTTCTTACTATAAAACTGTGCTGTAGAGCTTGCATCAGTCAAAGCAGGGTTACATTTTGCATGTCGTGCACATAAACCTAAAGGCACCAGGGTGGCG